TAAAACACTACACAGATACTAGAACAAATAAACCAAACCCAAATACTGTAATAAACAAAACACAATTCACACTGGTGGAGGATGTCACAAATTTTCTGGCACTTATGAATACTTAGCATTTGGTGTACCAAATGGGAATCTATGGTCCAAGCAGGAACGCCGGAATGTATTCCCTTTTCTATTGTGGAGGCTTAGTGTCCCTACGCCCCTGCAGGACTTTTAGCAATATCAGTCAGAATAATCTCTAATGAAAAGAAAATGGTGGTGAATAGGGTGGCTAGGCCACCCCCTTCGGTAACCGTGAAAAAAAAGGGTTATTCGTCTTATGTGTGTGCTTCTCATGTATACATGTTATGTGTAGTCGTCTACTCTGATAAAACATATACTTTCTATTTTAAGCTTTAACTTCTTTTCAGATGCCATCTAAGAGTGTTTAGCCATCTACAAATAAAAAAAAACCACAAATGAGTAACATCCCTTCCCAAAACCAAAACCATCCCCATCCCCGGCTTCATATCATCCACGCACAGTTGTTGTAGCCAATAACGGTAATAAAAGTGTCAACATATTCAATTATTAAACATAATGATAGTCTACTGCCCACATACTGGTATTGTGTTTCCATTAAATTTGAATATTGGCATATAGTAAAAAATTAATCCACTTAAATTCATTTATTACTTAATTATTTCAAATACAGTAGTCATGTTTTCAGGATGGCTGTCTATTTGGTAGTTGTTTATACAATGTTATAACACACCTAAATAGATTACAGTCATTTGATTAGTTGATTTTGTACCACATGACATTAGTTATTTTGCCCATTTCATCGCTCATCGTTAAAATTTTGTTCCACCATGCATTTTTTTTCCATCCGAATCATCTGTTGCACGTTGCCTATGGATACGAAATGAGTGCAGCCTAATACAATCTTTCTCAGGCCTACTTCTTGCTGAACTTGTCGTAGCATTGTGCAATGTATCGGACATTTTGTTTACTTTAAATTATTTTAATTTAAACTGGCTCAAGCCTGAACAAAATCTGTACAGAGTTCAGTTTTATTTTTCCGAAATGCGCTGATGGATTTCTAGCCTAGGCCGAACCGATCTATTTAGGTGTGTTATAAAACAAATAATGAATGTTTTGTATTCGTACAATGGAAAGGATATTTTCATTTGTTGAAAGATTGACTGTTCCCTTCAACGAGGCAGAGCTAAGTTGAATGGAAGAGCCAATCTTTCAACTCATTAAAATATTCTTCCCATTGCACTCATAAACATTTATTATTTATAAAATAATATGCTGTGCCTATGTGTGATTGAACACTGTGAGTGGCTGTTGGCTGGTTATGCATGGACTTTTATTTTAAATATCAGAAAGAAAATGATAATATGAGAGAGTTGGGAAAATAGTTTAATATCTATACAGACCTACCAATCTTGGAATTTCTTCTATAAATTTGAATGACACTGATTACAGTAAAGTAATCATAATAAACAGCATCAAACTCATAGTAGTTGGTTTTCTGCTTTTCCAACAATTCTTTACAGTTAATATAATATACACCATGTACAGTATGTATGTAATGTGTTTTATTGTAGATAATAAAGATGACAATATTGTACTTCTTTTTATTTTTCATTGCAGTTATATTTTCTACCATTGCTTTTGTCACTGCAGTTCTCATTTGTTCATTCAATAAATATTTTTTTGAGCAGTTACTATAATAATAGTTTCCCATGAATATAAATTTGACAATTTCTAAATTACATTTTTCATTATTGAAAGTTTCAGCCATTAAAAAAATATTATTCTTCTGGACATTAGCAGTCAACAAGATTTACATAAAGTAAAATTTATTCATACCTTGTTTGCTTCAGCTTAATTGAATGCAGCATGATTGATTTTTTTCCTTTTCTTATGATACTTGTAAGTGTTGAAACTGTAAATCAAATCAAATCATACTTTAAAAACTATTAACAAAAATTGATGTTTCTCGCATAAGATAATACTGTATATACGGTATATATTTTGTTTCTTTTTTACTTGTTTAGTTCTGTTTTGGTTTTGATATTTAAGTTTTTTCATTTCTTTTGTCCTGTTTTTTTTTTTACTTTGACTTTGTAATATAAAAATACATAGCTTGTGAAAAACACAATTAATTTGTGATAAAGTCATTATTATTACAAATATAATTCAATCAAGTAAATGAAACAAACAAAACAAAGCAAGGAAGCGTTGCTGAGTGGGCATCAGCCCATATAAACTACTCCTCTGTAGATATTAATTGGCATGTTATAGAAGGTAAGCATTAATGCTGTACTGCACAAAACAAACTACACTAAAACATAAACACCTAGAACCTAAAAAAAAAATGTTGTGTTGGCGTAAAACAACCGACCCTAAAAAATCGTGTGTCACTCAAAATGTTTCAAAAATAGTCCAAGGGTAAAAAACATGACAATTATACGCTTTAATGGCTTATTTAATTGATTTTATAGGGCCTTTTGCTAAATATTGTGGCAGTTTTTTGGGCCAGTTACGTCAACATAACAATTTTTTTAAAGGCCTAATTAAAGACTTTAAAAAACTGTATGTGGTATTACATATGCAATTAATCAGTGGCGCAGTTGGGGGGGGGGGGGTGTTGAATAGGGTGGAGCCACCTCCCTAGGTTACTGTGTAAAGGAAAAGGTCACTTGTCTTGTGTGTGTACTTCTCGTGTATATGTTACATGTAGTAGGTTACTCTGGTAAACCATACACTTTCTATTTTTAAGTTTAACTTCTTTTCAGATGTCATCTACAGGTAAGTGTCTTTAGCCATCCACTACTAAAAAACCTCAAATGGGGGATGCCCCCTCACAAAACCACCTACACCCCTTATAATTCAGTATCTTAGGTATTAATTGTATTGTAATTTTTAGTGTCATTTTCTGTTTACATGTGTGAATTGCCAGAGAAAAAACATACAGTAAACTGTACTGTACATTTATATATACAGTAGTACCAATATGCATGACTGACGTCATCAAGTCACACTTGGTTGCACACATTCACACTAACCAGATGCTAAAAATAAAATCTGGAAAAACCCACTTCTTTTTTATACCTCCATGGTTGTACAACTGAACACATACCTCATAGCAGAGAAACTTAAAGGTAAATTAACACTATTTGATATTAATTAAATTTGTTAAATAATCATAATGAAGCTTATTTAGATAATGTTGTTAAACTTTCTTTTAATAACTAAATAAAATAAATAGCTAAATTAATATAGCAACATTTTAACAACTAGATCAAAAAATTGTCCGAGTATGGTACGGTGGTAACCAAGAAATCTCTATAGGCCTATATGGATATGAGAGGGCACCTGTTTGAACAAGTGGATATGTTTATTCTACAGCCTGGTTCTACAAAATTGGGCCTAATTTATAGTACTTTGAGAAAATTCTTGTTTGCTCAATAATTTGGATTTTTTGTTTTAGGTAGAAAAAAACCCAACCAAGCCAAAAATTATTTTAGGCTTTTTTTTTATTATTGCAAAATAAAGTTAATTAGGAGCCCCTAGGCCTATAAATAATGATTTTAAAAAGCCATTTTCAAGCTTTTAATTATACATTTTTCAACAATGAATTTAATCCTGTTTTAATACCATTTTACCAACCACATTTCATGGCCCATCAAGTGATTGTTAGTAACCATAGAATTATGTAAATCTTGTACAAGCCTTGTATAAGCCAATCCCACAACCATAAAAGTCCTAAATACGGTAGTTTTTAAATTTATGTTAATGGGTATTCAAATCATTGTAATTTTAAGCTCAAAAGCTCATATATATTTAGTTAGTTTAAAACATACTGTATTGAAAAAATGAATTCTTTTAATTGAATACTAACAATACACAATTGGAAATATTCAAAATTTGAAGCCAAACATAATGTCAAATCAATGTACATGTAGTTTTTCTAAACACTTTTAAATTTATAATTTTATTATTAAAGACTCTGTAGTTGTGTAATTCTGTAGTTAAGAGAGAAGTATGGGTTGATTGCCAAAACAAAAGTGGGTTATTGAAAGGTTGATTAATTAAATGTAATTCAACTTATTGATCAAAACTTAATGAGAGAAATTCTATATACAAATTTGCAGCTTTTACTCTAGGGTTTACAGTAGTGAAAAAATTGTCAGCTGATAAACGCAGATTTTAAAAAAATCACTGCATGTTGGTAACACAATAATTTTTTTTATGGCCATCACCATTTTTGCCAAATTTGAAATGAAAATTTCCAAAAACCTGGCAACCACCACTGGGGGACTTCCAGAGGCCTAGCATTTCAATCTACGTAGTTACCTTCATGGAATAATTAAACCATAAAACTAAATTACTGTAGTACGGATAATGAGCACGAATATTTTAAAACGAAAAAAAGAATGAAATGTTTATATAAAAAACAAGTCTAGGTTTTAAAAAAGCTATTTCAATGTTTAAATATACAGTGATTAGCATGATTGAATGTGTTGTCTACTGCTGCTAGCCAATAGCAAAGGTCTAACGCAGCAATCCGCTCCGCGGTGCTCTATTTGTAACTAGCCATGCTGCTCAGGCTAGGCCGCGGCAAGTCCCCCAGTGAGTTGTGAGACATTGGCGGCGCTGTTTCAAAATAATTCCGATAAAAAGTCTATAAATTCAAAAATTCTAACAAACTTTGTGCACTGAATTGTTTTGACTCGTCTGCTTTTTTTTATAAATACATTCTAAATACGACAAATTGTCAGACACTTGAAATATCAAGACTGTGTCTTGCTATAATTATGATGATCATTATTAAAATTAAATAGGGTTTGTTGCTGAGAATATTTCCTGTGCAAAACTTTAGGCTTAGAAATTGAAAACTGATTATAAAAAAAAAAAAAAACTGCATTGAAAGGGTGATAACTCATCTAAAACTTTGCCTCCAGTGATTTTTAATGATTTATAATTCACAGGATTTCAAGATGGCTACCAGTGAGCTGAATCAGTTTTTGGAAAATGTTGATGAGAAGGTCTTAGAGTGTACCATATGCTTCAAGAGACTTCAAAATCCTAAATCTCTCAGTTGCCTCCATAGTTTCTGTTTGGCATGTCTGGAAGATTGGGTTAAGGAGAAGGGTAAGCTGACTTGTCCAACTTGCTCAAAATCATATTTCATTCCAGATGGTGGGCTTCAGAAGCTTCCACCAAATACATTTTTAAATAACATATTAGAAACTATTGAACACTTTTTGGAAAGAGATCAGATAAAATGCATTTGTGCAAATGGACAGGCAAAATACTACTGCCAGGAATGCAGACATTACTTGTGCTCTACTTGTACTTACCATCACCAAAAACTTCCGATGTTAGCAAATCACAAGTTACATTCAGTGGAGAATGTGCGATCCATGAACTCTTTACAGATTGCAGCATTACAACCTCCGCTGTGTTCACTTCACAATGAGCCTTTAAAATTGTTCTGCTGTGTTTGCAATATTCCCATATGCACAGACTGCACATATACCGACCATGATGCATGGGAAGGCAATCACAAACCAATCAGCATTTGTAAAGCATTTCAAATATTTAAAGACACTTCACCAACATTGGAGAAAGCTGCCAATGACTGCAAAAACAAATTACAAGATGGACTCAAAGTGATTATTCAGAATGTTACGAACCTAGAGCAAAGCAAAGATATAAGTTTGAGCGATATTGACAATCATGTACAAGAAATGGTCAAGAAAATTAAGGAGAATGCAGACAAATTAAAAAGCGCAGTGGAGCAAATTTATAAAAATAAAAAGAAGGTGTTAGAAATACAAATGGATGAAATGAAAATAACAATATCTGATATAAATACAAAACTAAGTTTTCTTAATCAGTTACTGAAAAGTGATGAAGCTACAGCAATGCAATCTAGTGAAAGCGTAATTACATCACTGAAGGACAGAATTAATGAATTGCCAAAAATAGAGCCAGCTGATGATGGAGAAATTCACCTCTTTTTAAACAAACACCAAATTGATTGTTTCCAACAATGTGATATTGGGTATGTATCACACAAGAGCGCAGCAGACTGTCTAGAATTAAAGGGAGAGGACCCAGGTAACAATCCCACATGGGGCCCATATGCAAAATATCTGGAAAAAGTCTTATGGGCTACCCCATATTTTTCCCTTATGGGATCCGTCTGGGCAATCACATATGGGGCTTGCCCATGGTTTACCCATATGGAGCCCATATGCCAAATATATAGGCAAATATATATAGGAATGCCCATATTTAAAGTACATGGGCCCCATATGGTAAATACCTGGGCAGATAAATATGGAAATGCCCACATTTAATCCGCATGGGGCCCATGTGCCAAATATCTGGGAAAATACATATGGGCATGCCCACGTATAATAAACACCCACATGCCGAAGACCTGGGTAGTTGAATATGGGTATGCCCATATTAATTTCGTATTGGGCCCATGTGTCAAATATCTGGGAAAATACTTATGGGCATGCCCACATATAATATACATGGGACCCATACGCCTAATACATGGGCAAGTAAATATGGGAAGCCCATATTTAATCCAAATGGAGCCCATGTGCCAAATATGTGGGCAGTTACATATGGGCATGCCCATATTTAATTTCCATGTGACCCATATACCAAATAACT